AAGGAAAGTTGTAGATCTCGTAGATATGATTCTGGTGATATAAAGAAAATCAAAAATAGAGATTGTATGCAAAAGTTATGATTTTTCGAAGTTCGCAAAAAATAACCGGTAGAAGTGATGACGTCGTACCACGAGAGGGCGCCACATGGCATCGTCGGCAACCGACTCTCCATCGAAGACAAGGTGACATGGAGCCACGAGAATGAGACATGTGGCACCACAAAAAGGACATATGGATGTTTCTAAAAGGAAGTGAGGTTGACGAGTACGATGGCGACACGTAACGAAAGGCACAAGGACCAGTAAGGCTCGTAGGCGCGGTATCGGAGTCTAAATTTTTCTTCATTTTCACACCAATTTCCAATCTCTTTCTCTCTGCGATACCACTCTTTCTAGAGTTTGAATTTTTGGAATTCCTTTGGATATTTAGAAAGCTTCTGAGGGGTCTAGGTGTCTGGCAAATAAAAGCTTTCGGTTTCGCAGTCCTGTCTATGCATTCTCCCGATTTTCTCTAAAATTATTGTAAGTTAAGTTGCACTTATTTTATTTCAAGAGTAACTTATATTTATGTTCATAGTCATTATTATGAACCTATAAATAATAATTATCAGTGATTCCAAATCATTATACTGATTAATCTATATATGGGAATAATGTCTAGGTTGGATTAGTGGGGTGTTTAAAGTGGGATTTCCAAACAATATACCATGTATGCTAAACAAACCCTACCTCCGATATTGAAACATCCCAAAAATACGGTCCAAATATTTCGTTTATATTTATAATAAAACCATAGTAATCCAATCAACTCATAAAAAGATAAGTGGTAATATCTCAAAACATCATGTCAAAACACTGTATCAAAATCACATATCAAAATATCAGAGTAAATCCTCCCATGCTAAACACTATGGTGTGTGCAATGCAGTCATCCCAAGCTTTTCCCTTTGCTATCGGAAGTACCTGAAACCAAAGTTGAACACTGTAAGCACGAAGCTTAGTGAGTATCCCCAAACTACCACATACCATACACATAACATATAACATGTAACTAGGAGATACGGGCCTCGCCCACACTCAGCTACCTATGAGACACGGGCCTCGCCCACACTCAGCTATCCAGGAGATACAGGCCTCGCCCACACTCAGCTGTCTAGGTGGTACAGGCCCCCGCCCACACCCCACTATCTAAACATACATACAAGTATCATGCAGACAACACGTACACCATAATCTACCAATTCATAATCATACTCAGATAATACTAAGATACCGGCGTTGCCCATACATAGCTACTAATCATAACAAGTCTAAGATACGAGCCTTGCTCACACTTAGCTACTAATCATAACAAGTATAAGATACGGTCCCTGACCACAATTAGCTACTAATCATCATACATACTCTACATGGGTCGACATTGGTGCCTTCGACCCGTTCCTACTAAAGGAAACTCACCTAGCAAAGCTGACTGAAATCTTGCGGTGAGGAATCTCTAACCGCCGCTCCAACGACTCCTCGACTATCATTAACATATTAACTCTTAGTCAAAATCCAATAATCCTTCTTAGGGTAAAATGACCATTTTACCCCTTGTTAACGTTAACAATCTGGTAAAAGTCAACATTCTAGGTTGACTCAACTCGCCGAGTTGACCCATCAACTCGTCGAGTTCCATAGATCCGAGAACTTTGAACTCTTGATCCAACTCGTCGAGTTCTTTCACAACTCGTCGAGTTCCTCCTATCCATAATATCAGGACTTTCCCATTCTACTCGTCGAGTTTTCCCTTTACAGAATCGGGACATTTCAACCCAACTCGTCGAGTTCCTCTATGGACTCGACGAGTTCTTCAGTCTGTTGAGCCATCTTAATAGATTAAGCTCCTAACCTTCAAATCTGGACTCCACACTTCTTCTACACATTGAAAAGGTCATTTTAAAGGTAAAGTTTCCAACTTTACCAGTTAATAGCTTTCTTTATTGGGTTTAGCTCAGACCCTAATTCTTCAAGATGTAGATCTTGATCCTAAAGCCATATGTACTTCGAACTAAGGCATAAAAACTGAGATCTAGACCCTAGACATCATTTGAACACGTAAAGTTTCTGCCTTTATCTCCATGCATGACCTTTTGGGGCTTAAAAGGCGAAAAATGTCATCCTAAAGCTTGCATGGGGCTTCAATGGCCATAAAGTTTGCACCTTTATGCCATGATAACCCTCTAAGGTCCTAGATCTGGAAGAATACCCACTCGGGTCGTCCATTTCCAAAAAGCTAACATTCTTGGACCAAAAACCCCATAAAAACTGAAATGAAGAGATCTAAGAAATCATTGAGAAAGTTTGAGACTTGCTTACCCAAAAATGTTGCAAGTGGAGTGAAGTTTATGGATCTACTCTCTTCTTATTGAGTCCTCTAGCTTCGTCTTCTTCAACAAGCTTCAAAAGCACAAGTTTTCTCTCAAAAAGGTCTCACAAGCTCACACAAGGCTGTAGGGTTTCGTGGATAGGGTTTTGGGACTTGGACGTTGTACATGAGGCCAGTCTTTAGGGATTAATGTGTTTAAATAAGGTGCAAAACCCTGAAATTAGGGTTCACTCTGGCAGTCCTACTTGTCGATTTGAGGCTTCCAACTCGTCGAGTAGACTTTAAAACCCGCGTCCAAATCCATTTCCTACTCGACGAGTTTGGGGCATCCAACTTGTCGAGTTCCTTCCTAAGAATGGATAAAATTACATAAATTGATATTTTTTAAAACGACGATAAACTTTCTAGCAATAAACATGACAACATTCATTCATGATTCAACATTCAAGATTTCAACATTTAAGATTTCAAGTATTCAAGAATCATTGAATGATTGAATCAATAATATGACCAATGGGTATTTTAGGAAGAACATTCCAATTTTCAGTTTTTGAGTTAGTTTAGGATTCCAACAATAACAACATTCATTCATGATTCAACATTTAAGATTTCAAAATTTAATTTCAAGTATTCGCGAATCATAGAATGATTGAATCAATTATATGACCAAGGGGTATTTTGGGAAGAACATTCCAATTTTAAGTTTTTTCAGTTAGTTTAGGATTCCAACACTGACAACATTCATTCATGATTCAACATTCAAGATTTCAACTATTCAAGAATCAAGAATCAAGATTTCAAGGAAACCTAATAATGATAATTGATAAAACATTAAAACTGATAAAAACTAAATTTGTCAATATATTGTAACTGATAATGATAATTGTTTAATTGTCTAATTGATAAACTGTAGATTGTAAAATTAAATTTGATATAATCGTTTACCTGAGTGATTGTCAACCTGATTGACAATTAGTGATTACACAATATAGATTAAAACCGAATGTTACCCTTGAATGCTGATGTCATTGTTGTTTGCCTGTCTCGTTGAGGCTGAGTTGTCGATCTCCTTTGATGTTGTTGTCGTTGCTGACCCGTTGTGTCGCTTAGAGGAATAGAGGCTTAGAGCAGAAGGAGAATTAGTGAATAACAATTTACGAATTGGTTTTATCACATTGCTCATGTCGCCTATTGCCTTACATGACCCATTAGTGGACTATTTGTCTATTTTGCATTGACTTTACTTTGGGCCAAAACTGATATAGTATATTAGTATTAATTTTTTTTGGGCCCCTAAAAGATGAAGGCCCTATGCATGTGTACAGATTGCACAACCTCATCACTGGCACTGCCAAAGGTGTCACCGATAATACTCGATATGTCGCCGCTAATACTTTATCTATAGCCGCTAAAAGCCGTCGCCGTTAATTCTCTTCGCAGATATAACCCCCTTCAACTCATTCTTTCTTCTTCTGTGACTCTTTTCTCTTCACAACGCCGACAACTCCTTTTCTGTTTTTCTTATTCTTTATCTTCTCCCTATGTGACATACTCGTTGGTGGTGTCGGATTGTTTCGGTCCTTTGCTGTAATTGCTAAAGATCTGCCGGAATTGTCTACCGAAAATTGGCCAGAAAAGTGGTCTTATTTCAGGAATACCGCCACCAGTCCACCACCACTCTTCTCCACTGGAATACACACCACCGCATGTTCTATGTATGTTTATTTTAATTTTTGTATGAAGAATGTATGTTTTGTATATGTATGTGTATTTGTATGTATATCTTGTATGTGTGTGTGTGTGTTTTTGTATGTGCATTATGTATGTATTTGTGTATTCGTATGTGTATCATGTATGTATATGTGTTTTTGTATATGTATTATATATGTATGTATGTGTTTTTGTATGTGTATTATTTATGTATTTGAGTATGTATGTATGTATGTGTTTTTGGCTATATGTTTTTATAACATTTTTATATTTTTTATAACATTTTTTTTTATAATTTTATAACATTTGTTTTGTATATGGAATGAACGTTTTCAAAAAACTAAGAAAAGAGAAACCTACAATTAGCGGCGACACTTTTAGTGGTGACGGATAGTATCATCGGCGACAGGGCATTAGTGCGACGGTAAACATTAGCGGCGACAATTGGAGCATTAGCGACGAGCCAGCAGCGCCGACCCATTAGCGGCAACGGGTCACCGCTATAGGTATTAGCGGTGACATTTGGGACCTTTAGCGGCGACGCCCGTCGCACTAATGGTCAATATTCTTGTGGTGTGAAATCATGTATGTTTTGTTCAAAGGATTTAATTAGTTATAATACAAGTGTAAATGTTAATTGGAACTCAATAGGTCAAATGCATGCTAGGACCGGAGACATGGAGTGGGTAGTCAAAAAATTTCCAGGCTGTACGTTTAAATTGCTTTAATATTTGAATTTTTTTCTTAATATTTAATATTTTGCCATCGTTGTAATGACACCTCTCATTTATAATAAATGTCAAGTGTCTCACAAAATTTCCCAATGCAAACAGATATAAGTATAACAACAAATTTTACATAATTTCTTGTTTGGGAGATTTGTGTATGACCTTGCCCTTGGTTTCCGGTAGTGAGTTTTAGAAGTATAGCAATCTCATTGACTTATCTGTTTACCTATTACAAACATACCTAAAGTTTCTTAACAAAAAGGCATTCAAATGAATACATATATATATATTGACATGATGCATATAGGGAACTTGATAAAAGTAAAGAACATTGAAAGTACACTATATCGATCAGACAACAAATATCAATTTAAAGCAGATCCTTCATCAATAGATTTGAAACTTGGCGCATAGTTGGTCTTCCGTTTGGATTGGAGTTCAAACATGCTCTTAAGAGACTCAACACCAACTTAACTTGTTTCTCAGCTTGTGGCAAGGGAAGTGGAATCCGACTATCTCCCACATTTTCCAAAACCAGATAATCAGCAGACAATGTTGGTAGTTCACCGGGATGCTTTCCCATGATCACTTCTAGTGCAACAATGCCAAAGCTAAACACATCACATTTCTCGGTTGCCACCATCGTATAAGCAAGCTCTATATCCAAAGAAACATAAAAAAAAAGATTATATCAATCCCACAAGATTCTAACATAAATACATATATGCACATATACAACTTTATATATATCATGAAACTAAAGAATATGCAGAACTGCAATCAAAAGATTAGGTTACCTGGCGCGATATAACCATAGGTGCCTGCAATTGTGGTCCAGTTTGATGAGTCTAGCTTTAAAAGCTTGGATGTGCCAAAATCAGAAATATGTGCCTCATAATCAGAATCGAGAAGGACGTTGGAAATTGAAATGTCTCTATGAATTATAGGAGGTGAGCAGTCGTGATGCATAAGCCAAACCATTAGCTACACCCTTTACAATATTTACCCTTTTCAACCAATCCAATTCTTTTGCTAAGACATCACTTCTTAAGATTGATCCAAGGCTTCCATTTTCAAGGTATTCATAAATCAAAAATGAATGGCGAACATGTGAGCAATATCCATAGAGTTTTACTATGTTTCGATGCCTTATGTTCGTTAATGCTCGTATCTCGTTAAGGAATCCATTATGATCAACATTCTCAGATGATGAGTGAAGTTTTTTGACGGCTAGCACATTGTTAGGTTGTAGCTCGGCTTTGTACACAGTCCCATATCCTCCGGTTCCAATAGAGTATGCTTCATCAAAATCATTTGTTGCTTTCAAGATGTCATCATACGCTACTCCTCCATCAAAGCTTGTTATGGAGAAATAATCACCACCTTCTTTGTCCAATGGTTTCTGTGGAGAATGTCTCTTTCGTTTTCGATAAGCAATGAGGCCACACATGAAAAAACCAAGTAAAATTGCCCCGATAAGAGGGAGCATAATTACAAGGATGAGTTGATGATGAAAAGGATCATTTTTCTTCTTCGAGATTTGACTTGCACAAAATTTTAGTCCTGTAAAATTTCCACACAAATGTAGATTGCCTTCTATGGACACATTCACAAAGTTAGTGATAGTGGGAACTGGACCTGTGAGCTCATTGTAAGACAAGTCGATATCAGTCCCACGAGGCAAACTTTTAATAGAATCAGGAATAGAACCAGACAGTCTATTGTGTGATAGATTCAATTTTTGCAAACTTTGCAAACTTTGTACTTCAGAAGGTATCTCTTCCTTGAGCAAATTCTGAGATAAATCAAGTTCTGTAAGCTGAACTAATTTACCAATCTCAGATGGAATTTTATGAATGAGCTTGTTGTTTCTAAGATTTAAGTTGTAGATGTGTGTCCAATTACCAACACTTCTTGGTATCGAGCCATTTAATCTATTTGAGGACAGATCGATAGCAAGGAGATCATGCAGTGATCCAAGCTCCGGAGGTATAATACCTGAAAGATGGTTATCAGCCAAAGACAAATACAACATACTTGTCATCTTCCCCAACTCCTTTGGGATCTCACCAATAAAATGATTTGAAGAAAGATTAAGCTTTTGTAGCTGAGTTGAACTTCCAAACTCTCGAGGTATGTAACCACTGATGTTGTTGTATCCCATATTTAAGACTGTTAAATTCTTGCATTTACTCCAGTTTTGAGAAAGCTCCCCATGAAAATGATTGTGACTGATATCAAGGTAAGCTAAGCTTGGATAGAACCCAAAGCTATTCGATATATTTCCACTTAATTGATTATGATCAAAACGAACTCTTATTAAGCTAGGACAATTCAATAAACCTCTTGGAATAGGACCAGTGAGTTGATTACCTGATACTGTCAATTTTTGAAGCATCCCCCCATGGCACAGATCATCAGGTAAATTGCCAGACAACTGATTGTCATCCAATTCTAGCTTAATCAAATCTAACCTTCCGAGTCCTTGTGGAATTGAACCTGAAAAAGTATTAGCACCGAGGAACAAACGTTGTAGGTTGATGAGGTTTGCTAGTGATGAAGGAATAGAACCACTAAGTTGATTTAGGCTCAACTCAAGATCAGTGAGAGACTTCAAATTCCCAAGTTCATTGGGAATGTGACCAGAGAGTTTATTATAAAACAAATAAAGGATATTCAACGATGTTAGATCACCCAATGATGAAGGAATTAAACCAGATAGATGGTTTAAAGCGAGGCTTATGCCCTTAAGTGACACCATGGTTCCTATTTCTTGTGGAATGGAACCAGTTAGATTGTTTTTTGAAAGGTCCAAGTCGGTTAGCTGGCGAATATTTGCTATTTCACGTGGGATTACTCCACAAAAGTTATTCAATGAAATATTAAGATAAACAAGTTTGGAGAGGAGTTGGATTTCTAATGGGATGGGTCCGGTGAAGTTGTTTACACTGAGATCAAGATGTGTAAGATTGTGTAGTAAAGAGAATGAAAACTGGTGGAGTGTACCTTTTAAGCCAGATGAACTGAGGCTCAACCTCTGAATCCTCCAATTAGCATTGCAAACTACTCCAAACCATGAAGTGCATGGAATTGATGCATTGGAATTTAAAGGGAGGGGAAGCCATGAAGAGAGCAAGGAGTTGTTTGGGATTTCAAGGCTTGCTTTCCATTTAAGAAGACCATTGGCTTCCTCCAAAGAAGTAGAAGCAAGATTTGGTATGGGGGAGAGCATTATGATTAGTAGAGCTAGAGAGAAAGATAACAAGTTTGAAGAAGATATTATTTGCTTTGCCATGTTATTTTTTGAAAATTGATGATTTGTGCCCCCCCTCTAATTTATACTTGGCAACTTTTTTCTTTCCTTTTTTTTATTCTCCCTAGCTATTTTTACAAGGAAAATTGATTAAAAGTGAAACTGAGAGTAATGTTAGTTCAACATAAGTATAATATAATTTCATCACAATATAAAAAATTATGATTAATTAAGTTACTTAATTTCACAATATAAAAAATTCTGACTAATTA